CTCTAGGAGGAGAGGGGGGGGGGGTTACCTTGGTTGCTGATTGGCTCAAAGTTACACAAGCCAAAACATCGTTATGACATCATAAAGTGTCCAAAATCTGATCAGCTCATTTTCAGACAGGTTTTTATATAAATGGATCAGGACCAAAAGCGAGAGAATCTTTGTTCCTGAAACTTTCAGAATCTCTTTACACAGAGGGGACACATGCTCCTTTTGCAACAAACTAACATACGTGCCTAGGATAATTAGTATATGTGCTACAATGAGACGTTTGACTAAGTGTGATACACATACACTTTATTTTCCAAGTCCAATTAAAGGCTCTAAGCAAAACAACTGAATGCAAGTGATTGGCATTCTAAGGTGAAAGCAGACAAAGGAGACAACGAATAAAAAGAAAGTGCTTAGGCCTCTTGCGTTTATCCCTCTATTCAAACAGGGCTTTCCCCAGCTGTAACAGAGCTTTCCTTAGCAGCTGAGTTGTTGTAGCGGTCAACTCACAGACACTGAATCCACATGCTGCCACAAAGCCAAGACACTGACCGAGCCAGGAAGCTGCTCACACACTTACCGAACCCTAACCCATTAAAAAAATCACATTCAAATAAGGAGTGATTCAAACAGACTTAAAAAGCCAGGATTGTAACTCACAGGTAACTTATCATAAACCAGCCACTGATCTTATGTGTTCTGACTCACTGTGTGTTTTTACCCTATGTTCCTCCACAGCGCTGGTGGGCTGCACCTGCTCTGGTCCACACCAATTCTACACTATTGTATATAGTATATATTGGGGGTGAGTAGAGAAATTCTTGTTTTGTTTTTACGTCTGTGATTGCAATGCTACATACAGTAGTCCAAGTGTTTGTCCAAAGTTAAGTATTGTAGGTCTTTTGAGAAGCTCTATGAAACAAGCTACCATAATAATATATTGAGGCTGGCCAACAACGTGTTCTCTGACCCCAACCGGAGACAAAGGGTTCCACAATTTAAAGATGAACTCTTGAAAGTAAATGCAGAGTTTAATCCCAAATCAAATGTACATTCAAGGGTCCTTGTTGATGTTTTGATGCGAACAGATTTTAGACCTGAACTGATTGTATCGTATCGCATCGTATAACAATTATTGGTCTGTCTTACTCGTATCAAAGTTAGTATTCATATTTGAATTAAAACGAATATAGCAGGGTTAACTGTCAGAAATGATAAATGAACCCTTTATTTCTCACTTGCACTTGATGTATGACACCCCTTGTAGTGCACATCCATCCTCCAGACAGGCCTTCAGTAAACTGATAGGGTAGCATTTGGCAAAAAGCTTTGTTTCCGCTGAAGTGTAAACAGAAGGGCTAAGTGGGCCTCATCTGGTCTTTCACTTTGGTAGCACGCTAAATACGGGATCGCGCTACTGGATTTTAACCAGATGTCACAAAAATGCAGCGTCAAATTGAAAATGTTTTGAAGAAAGTCACTCTTGCTGACAGCTGTTCAGAGTTGTTGTTGTTCGTTTTGTAGACTTAAACCGCTGATTCACATCGACCTTTGTCTTTGGTCTTTTAGTGAGGGATGAGACAGGCAGACAGCAGGACCAGCTCCCAGCTCATCAATCACACCTGACAGCTAAAGGCTGCGTGAAACCATGGAGACAGTCTCTAGGTGTGAGGCATCCTGGGCTTGGATGGTGATTCAATTGACAATCATTTACAATGTTTACCCATTAAAAAACAAGTTCACTTTCAAAGGTCTAAATCTGTATACCATAACCCTTATGCCAACACACATGCTAATGCTAACCGTAACCTAAATGTAAGACTGTAATGTTCTTGTTTTAAATCTTTTTTACAACAGTAACTGGACAAAATGAAAGAGGTTTGTGCTATCAGCAGTCTCAAAATGCATGACAATTTAAAGTGGTTGTAAATCCATTGATTCATTGTAACAGACTGAGCTTTCATCAACAATAGAGTGTCAATTGCAATGGTGAACACACGACATACAGAAATGAAATCCTCGGAACGGACATGCCCATTGAAGTGAATGGGGACGGTGAATAAGGGAATCACTTTAATCTTCTGTGCGGTGGGGCTGTGGCTGTCAAAGATAGTTTCTGCTCACAAAGGTGTCTTTTAGTGGGGAACCTCAGAGGTGCACACAACATTTAGCCCCACCCAGACCAACCCTGGAGAAGCCCTGTAGGGCACACACATCAAAGACCCTGGAGCTCAGACCCTCCCAGGCTTACTGTGGTCTTGGCCCCGACTCTCTATTGCTTAGGAGATGGGGTGAGGGTTAAAGACAGTCAGGCAGGGGCAGAATTAAAGCACTTTGTGGGAAGGAAACGTGGTTTTGCAGAGAGAAGGGAATGAGGAGGAAAGTGAGTCAATCCAAAAACCATGAAAGAAAACCAAATCCAATTCAAAGACATTGCGAACAAACAATAGGTAATTACCTGTAATCTAAGGTTAAAGGTAAAGGTCTCATCGGCTTCTGGCAGGTTGTCATCTTTCACAGCAATGAAGATGGTCTTACTGGACTCAGTGGACAGCAGGAAGGCTGCAGCATTAATGGATTCAAAATCCCCTGTGTCCACTCCCTCAAGCTGGGGAAACAAGAAAACACTCAAACAGATTAATCACTACTGAAATGAACAAAGATTCCTGCTTCTTTTGTGTACTTTTTGCATCCATTTGACAGTGGTAAATGAAGACAGGAAAGGCACATAACAGATGGAAAGAATGTGGCACAGTAGATTAAAAGTTGGTGTGAATTTAAGATGCAGCAGGTACATGAGTTTTTCCTTTAATAGCATGCTTTGGGCTTGAGGTTTTTGACTGTTTCATCTCTTCCCAACAGCAGATAAGTACGTTTATACGTTTCAATAAGTTTCAATTTGATCCTCAGTTGCCCTTCTGTCTATCCCCATTAGACTTCCGGGAAGGAAGCCGGATATTACACTCTTATATCAACTACCATGGCAGCTCAGGTGTAATAATCCATGTGGCAAATCTGGTAAAGGTATCAAGAAGTAAGGAAACCCCCCAACCACAATTCACAGCCCGTGAACTCTCCTTACTGGACACCAGCTGTGAGCAGCTGACACCTCATGTGGAGGTTGTAAAGCCTAAGCCAACAGTGATTTCAAAACACTTTCTAGAGACAAACTCTGCTTACTGGCCGCTGTGTGCCATAGGGAAAAAGGTCATTCATTCTGATCTTCGCTAGACATATAAAGGTGGAGGCTCCGCAACACAGCAAGGTGCTTAAAAAGAGACAAGATAGATGACTTGACAGGTTGATGAGTTTTGTTTCACGTGAGTGCATGGATGTCCTACCAGAACCAAAGCAGTCACATTGACCGGGTCTCCCACTCTCTCCACGACCAGTCGGACCACAGCTTCCTCGCTCTCGTTGACAACAAAGTCAGTCTGGCCCAGAAACCGCAGCGTGGCCGACTCAGACGCTGTGCCAGGGACGGACAGCGCCAGAATCCAACCAGCAAGCAGGAGGACAGGGAGCATTCCTGCAGAAAGAGGGGAACCATGAGCATTTTTTGTTCAATATAGATCTGGTTTTATTTCAATTTGAATCTGTTAACATGTGCTTGCCTCTTCATTTAATATGTTAGTCTACTAATCTTGATTGTGCCATTTGTCTGCACTGTTCTCTTTGTTGTTGCATTGTACATTTCCCAGCTGTGTGACTCATGAAGGATTTACATTTCTGATATTGAAGGACAAATAGACATTATGCATATATTGAAATGACTCAAAGGCCAATATGGGGCTAATTTGAGAAGTTAGATGAACTCGAAAGGCAAAAAAAAGTTAGAATTGTAATCATTCAGCGCCTAGTGTCATACATAAATACACTCCAGATTAAGATACGTGTTCCAATACTGCAGAAATGATGTCAGAAATGTATGAAAACACTAGAAACACTGACATTTAGAAATATAAAGTCAGTTTAAATTCAAATGAATGTGATCTACGGGCAGTATTGAGTGGCCAGATGTTCACATGGCCTGACTTTAGCTGGTCATTGTGGTCTGAATGATTCATAACATTATTCCATCATTTCAACAGCTGTTGTCCTCATGTGGCCATAACTGTTAAAGCAGTTGTTGTCGAATGTATTCTCTTCTGACCACATGCATTGAAAGCCAGTATAAATATAATCACTGAAGGTAGTTTCAGTATTTCAGCATCAGCCTCACTGAAACACTCTCCTCTCTCTAATTATCGTTTCTGATCTCATGCTTCCTCCAATCATCCTCGCATCTCTCCTACATCGCTCTGCCCTCCTCCCCTCATCTGTCCCCTGCTTTCCCTCATCCAGAATAATCCTAAAGCTGGATGGAGCCACTAAGACAGTTGTCATGGTTAACACAACAAAACAACACAGCATGACAGAGGGGTGGAGCCAGCTTATAGCCACATTCGACCACTATGTCCTGTCTTTCCCCTCCATGCGTCCTCTTACCCATCCCATTCATAACTCGCACCACACACTTTTGCCAACAGTATGAACACGTAAGGTCTAAATTGCTCTTAATTACAAGGTTTAAAAAGAGCATCAGCAGCTACGGTGGGTGAAGTCATGCTGTTTGGGTCTTTTTTCGAAAGCAGAAATCGTTTGGGGAAAGTTGGACATTGAAAAGAAACCATTTTTCATAATGTTCCATAGCTGTTAAATCAATCTGAGTTATTCTCAGTAGTGGCGGGTGTTTAAATAGCAACCATCCATCAATCCATCAGCCACAAGACACTGTGTCAGCATTAGAAGTTGTAGGTTGACAGATACAGTCAGAATCAATCGGGTAAAAGTGTGTTTGAGAGTTTGTGTAGAGGTGGTGTCAAGTGTGTGTCTGTGTGAATGTGTAGCACACAGGCCAGCAATGGAGAGATTCCTGGGAAATCCATCAAAAAAGGATTTAGAGCTGGTGGGGAGGCTGGACAGTGGGGGACAGAGGGTGAGGCTAAAGGGGGAAGAGGTGAGTGTGTCGCTGGACAAAGAGAATAAATCCTGTTATTCGTCCTGCTCTCTCTCCTGGGGTTGGGAACTTCTTGCACCACTGGCCAAGAGCTTGTGAGGAAAGCTATTACCCCTATCCCTGGAGCTGCCTCACACACTTAGAGCCTACACTAGTCTAGAACACACTCTACTGGGACATGGGTTACCCGAGGGTGTGAAACTTTACAGCATGCGCACACCTGCTAGTGTAATATCCACATGCCCGCTTAATTGAGGAATATTGGACAACAAGGCCAAAACATTCTATTTCAGTCATGGCAATAATACGACGGAGTATTAGGCCAAACTTAGAAAACATAAAGTTGAATAAAGTCGTAATAATACGAGAATAAAGTCATAGTTTCATAAGTGACTTGAGAAGCGGACTTGGAGGAGATTGTCTCCTTTCTGCAGGAGGAAACGGCTGGTTCTGGCCGACTACATTACATTACATTTAATTTAACTGAGGCTTTTATCCAAAGCGAAGTGCATTCGACCAACAAGATACAAACTTGAAGAAAACAGAATCATATAAGTACATCAGGTTTCATAGAGCCAAAACATTTCAAGTGCAACTCAACAGGCTTTAGATAAGCCAGTCCTTTGTTAGTATATAAGTGCTTTGTTAATAGTTCTATCGATCGAAGTGGAGTCGAAAGAAATGAGTTTTCAGTCAGCGTCGGAAGATGTGTAAGCTTTCTGCTGTCCTGATTTCAATGGGGAGCTCATTCCGATTCCACTACAAGGCTATGGTTCGACTCCTTCTGGATACAAAGCCTTGATTACAAGTCTCATCGTTTCTTGTGAAACAACAAATCCCCTTTGAACAGCTCATAGATGTAATCAACGAATGTAAATGTAATAGTCGGCCAGAACCAGCTATGTCCTCCTGCAGAAAGGAGACAAGTCCGTTTGGTTTTTTCTTCGAAATAATAGACACAGTTTCTTGCCAAACCTTTTCAAAGTTCTAATACTTATGATAATCTGATGCTGATGTGCCAAAATATTAAGTATTTCGTGATTTGAGAAACCTAAACTAAAGTACTGCTTCACAAGATGCTCCACATTCCTCATTTTATTGTAGGACGAGGCTCTTGTCTCCTTCTCAAGTCACTTATGAAACTTTAATCCATAGACTGTATATATAAAGCTTTAATCTCGTAATTATGACTTTATTCTCATATTATTACGTATTTATTCTCGAAATCTCTCAGTTTTTTTTTTTTAAATGTGGCCCTACAGTAACTCATTGACCATATCATGCACAGCTGAAGGAGTTTTACGAATTGGAAAGCCGTGGAAGGTGCGGAAAGGGAAGTTTAATATTGAAACCCACACCACAGAAGATGTGATTATGTTTATCACAGCATTCCTAGGCACCTACCTGACCAACAATAACGCACAGCAAAGGAGCTAAAGGGGGAGGGATCGTTGGATATAAGTAGGTGCTAATGAATTTTGACACAATAAACACTAATAACTTACTAGGCTACAGAAAAACGAGATTCAAGTGCCAACGTTATACAAATGACCGTTACTACAGACATGCATCCTGCTAGCTGTAGCAAACGGGGCGTGACAGAACTTCACCAGTAGCATATGTTGAGTTTGCAATAACTGACAGTAAATATTCAGCTTATGAGACAAGTTGCTGTTTCTGAACCAGAGCTGTATGTTTTGAATAACGTTAGGTTACCGCCGCACACCAAATGCTGCTACAGCTGGTTCTTTGAGCCTCCCTCTGCTAATCCTGACATCATTCATAAATCCTTTGCACTTCTTATGAGTAACCTGATTAATAATTTTATTTGGTGACTAACTATCAAACCTTATACTACAGGCTGATATTTTGAGACGTTTAGGGAACATTGGTGTGCAAAATATTAAAGGGACCAACAGTTTAGGGAAGTCTTAGCCTTCTCCAGCTTTTATGTCCTGCTGCCGCTTAAAATCACCATAATGTCGGTTTCATTTCTTTCAACAGCAGAAGGAATATAGTGTACTGCTGCCTCTTCCCTTTCTTTTCACTGGTGCCTTCATCAGTTTGACCTTGACTTGCAAGTCTCTTCAAGGCTATTCATTTTCTGGATATATATTTGTTTTTCATAGAATCTCAGTCTCTTTGTCATATTTGGCTTCTTTTTCAGAACAAAAAGTTGGGCTTCTCTATTTCTTCAGTAAATCTGCCTCAAAACCTCACTTCCAAACTCCCAAAGCATTGCCTAACATCATGTGGACCACAATCTTTGAGATGGATGATATGGTTGCGAGCATCCAACCCTCTAACATCCTAAACCCCCTCCTTAAAAATAGAGGGGTGGTCCCTTTAGCATCCACTGACCACGATGCCGCACTCTTCCAAAGAGAGTAACACAAAGCAGATGCTGTGTGGATGGCACAGGTCGTTCCTACAAGCAGCAGGGCAGTTTTTGTGCGGGCATCATGCGTTGTGCCAGCCCTGACCCCGGGGGTTAGGGGACCAATGGTCTGTCTGTCACAGCAAAAGGCATCATGGAGCGCCTGGCGCAGACCTCTGACATTGATAAGGCTGGGAGTCAGAGTCCATGGAGAGAGGTGCACAGCGGCACAGTTGCATGCATACAAACATTCACACAAGTTTGCATACGAGGAAGCATTGGCGAACTCACAGTTAGCAACTAAAATGTAGGATCTCAATGCTCAGAGAGACAGCTGGGTGACAGGCCAGGACACTGGAGAGCTCTGAAATGTCCATCAAAAATATCGCAAGGCCAAAGGAACAGAAAATGATGGCTTGGGCCAGGACTCAGGGACCAGGCGCTCCAACAAACCACAGACAGCACCACAACTGAAGAGACTTCACATTCTCAACATTTAAAACAGCTTTTATTGACATAGTCTGTGACTCTAACCTCAGACAGCTGACTTTTCTTTTATGTTACATGACTTTATTTCCTGGAACTCGCATAGCGTCAAATAAAATATGTATTTATAGTACAGGCTAAATATGTTATGCCTCTTTATCCACAACAATGAGTCATCAAATGTACGTGAAAATACGTCAACAAGCTCAAATGAAAATCAACCCCTTAGCCTGTAACAATCCAGCATCGTAATGAACAAACCATAGGTTACAAAAACCTGATTATTATATCATTAAACAATGACATTGAACCTGCTTTCAACATAACAGTTTTTGTTAATACTTCCATCAAGCTCCTTTCTTCTTTTCAATATGCCAAGTCATGTCAGATGTTGGTCCTTTGGCACAGGGAGGCTTTGTGTTTGCCAGGAAAGTTTATTAGCGCCTGGTATTGTGTTACAACAGAAGTGCCACTAAGTCCACTCGTTTCACCGGCTAAACTCAGATCAAAGCAAAAGGGAACTATGCGTTGGCAGCAAAACACACATACGCACATGCACGCACTAACACACATGTACTTCATGTAGAGTATCCCTTCAGTATCTGCTTGTAATCACTCACTCCTCTGTCTCCCTTAATAATCCACATCTTTAGTGTATCTTAACAGTTTACCTTATTCTATTTTTAATTATATTGTTACTTTCTTTTGTTGTTTCGTAATCCTATTAACCCTGTGTATGTACTCTTACCTGTCCTATCCTGTGTAGACCTTGTCTCTTATCCCTATTTCGGCTAAACCTGAATGATGGGGAATAAAGTGGCCTTATTATGCTTATTATGGTATTCCCTTCCCTGTAGTGTGTTATATAGACTTGTGTGCATGTCAATGGTCTGCAAAGGCTAAAATCCCAACGTTCTCTCAAGAAGGAGTTTCTCTCCCACACACACTCCCCCCCCGGCCTGAAACGCTTCCTGGACTCCTTTGTTTACTTCCGTAACATAATGACATCATTATGTAACACTCGCACTTCTATTGGCTGGGGCAGGGGGGACATCTCTAAGCAGTTGACCAATCGCAACAGAGCCGGCCAGCTAACCAATCAGAGCAGACTGGGCTCTGGTTTCAGACAGAGGGTGAAAAGAGGTGCAGCAGCACAGGCAGTATGAGAAAAATAAAGAGCTTTTTGAACATTACAGCATGGAGACATGTCCCAGTAGAGACACTAAATACTGATATGAACCTGAACATGGGCATAATACAGCCCCTTTAATAAAGGGTAATCTTATCTTAACTTCTTCTTGACAACTAACTCCTCCTGTATCTCTGTGATGGATAGCTCATCAACAGAGAGATATCCCAACAGGCTCAAACATGATAAGCACCCTGACCAGTCACCGGTGATAACATCAGCGCTCTTCAGCGGTGGTTTGACCTCATCACCAGTCAGCCCTTTTTAAAGGTGTTAGTAGCCTGGTTTAAAACAACAAAAACATTACATTGGATCCCTTGCAGTCACTCACACACACACTCCCTGATCTATGTGATATCCCTGTCGGAGGTGCTGAGGCGGTGTCTGGTTGCAGGGCTGCTCCTGGGGTCAGGGCTGGTGCCTCTTGGGTTTCTGCTGACAGTGGCCTCTGTGTCGTAATCTTTAGCATGAATTATTCACTGAAAGTCTAAGACTTAACAGTCAAAGGACGGTATTAAGCATGACAATGCAGGATTCACTGTATAGCATGTGCCGAAATAGTAATCCGGATGTTGACATACTGAAAGAACACATGATTATGCTGTCACAGACGGCCATGTTTCACAGTTAATTTCTGTCTGTAAGTTAAAAATATGGCTTCAATTTCCATCATGTTTTCTCTGAGAGAATCCCAAGGTAAAGTACCAGCCTCTATAATCATAGGGAATGACTTTCACTGAGAATACTCCATATGGAAGCTTTAAAAGAGGAAAGCAATACTTTTACTTCCTTTCTGGTAGCGGGCGTGTGGGATAACGGTCTGGAGAGTTTTAATCAAGGGCTTTCCCATGAGGCACCCCTTCCTTGAGGCTTCCCTGGTACTGAGACGCCCTTGGTGAAAGGCTTGTGGTTATATCTGGCAGTCAGTGACACACACACACACACACACACACACACACACACACACACACACACACACACACACACACACACACACACACACACACACTACTCTCTACTCTCTCTCTCACACTACTACTACTACT